CCCTACACACTCTTCCTAATGAATGCCCTGCCCATTGAATGATAAAACTCAACATACAAATTAAATCTGTGCTCACTTACTGCAGCTTATAGTCTGTGTGAGAAAACTCATGGAAGATGGAAGCATAGTTTTGAACCCCTTAGTCTTGTCATTATCAACTGTGCATTATTTTCCAACTAATGTTTTAGACATCTTTGAGGATATAGATGTCAGTTTTTAACTGGCCAAATAAGAACTAGGTATCTAAATCCATTTTGATGGTCAAGGGCAATCACTTAGACCTGGCAAGTTTTAAAATAAAATGGTAACCCCTAGTTAGGTTTTCAGAGATGTCTTAAGCAGTCAGTGTGAATCAGGCTCTGATTTTGACTACCATGTTGTGCTCTCAAAGAGACTTAGACAAATACTTCTGCTCTGAATCTTCACTGCCTTAGGTCACTTTGATCACTGTTGAACTGTTCTTCCTTGCCAAGAGAAAGACAATTACAGGCATGCAAAGAAGAACCTGGAGAATTGAAAGTAAAAAGCTGAAGTGCCTATGAAGCTGATCACATTCAGTGTTGGAAAGCCACTTAATTGGGGTTTGAAGTCTTGGGTGCTTCTCCTTTAAACATCCAAATATTTTGTTGGGTCTGATGCATTCAAACTGACTGAAGACTGGTGTGCTGATTGGGGCACTGTTGTTGAGAATATAACGCGGTGATGCAGTGAACAGTGTCAGTGTCAAGAGCTCAGAAATATTCGTGACCTTCAGGAAACAAATCAACAAGATCAGCAGTATACGTTACTGTAATTTGTCTGCCAAGAATAAGGGAGTAGTGTCATGCATGGATAAACAAGTAGATGAAATCCTTGAGAAGTTTCCTACCAATAGCATGTCCTGCAGAAGATGCCATGCTTGGGGCATTGCTGATTTCCTCTTAATTCACTAGTTTTTCTCTTTTCAAATAATCAAGTTCATTTTCTTCTGGAGAGATGGCAGACAACTGAGTTCCAAGAGTGCTTACAGTGTGCAGATAACAAATACCATTCATTAAATGTCAAAAGAAGAGAGCAGAATAGCAAGGTGCTCCTTTCTGGGCGGAGTGCAAAGATGCTTCTCATTTAGCTGACGTACATATCACATCACAAGCTGCTAGCTGTTGTCCACACTGCTATGTGCTTCTGCTTGACTCCAACAATGGGTTTGTTTCATGGGCTGCATTTTTCATCCCATCGTATTACTGTGACATGTTACAGTACTATAAGGAAGTGACATGATGTTATGCTCTATAATGCTAGAAACTGATCTTGCAGAGCTAAGAAATAATTTCCTAAGGGGAAGAAGCTTACGGATGTTTGAAAGTACATGAACTAATCTCTGGGAAATATGTTATAGACAGCAATTGTGCTGTGGCTGTAGGATGGATTAGATGATCTAGTAGGTCTGTTCCATCATGAGTGCCTCATCAGTTTGGGATTATATAATATGAAAAAACTTAAAGGGATACTGTCAAGTAGTTCATGTTTTCCCTCCTTTCTTTCCTGTTAAAAACTGGTGGGGAAAATGTCTTCCAAGTTACAGGTATTTTTTTTTTCTTCTAAATCCACCACTGCTTGTAAGGATTTTTGTTTATAACAAGCGATAGCTGCTCTTCATGCTTGACTATACACAGTATTTTTGTTCTGCCACTACAAAGCCAGCCAGCCAGCAGAGGGGGGACAAGTTAACTAATAAATCCCGTTCCTAGAACTGTGCTGGTAGCTGTGATGACACTAATTGCAAACAAGTAAGTGTTTTTTAAGTAAGACAGGCTCACAGTAGCTTATTGGTCCATGAAAGGAGCAGAAGGAACAAAACAGGTAGGAAAACCACATATTACTGCTGAAAAGAACATATTAAATAACAAGGGTAAGTGGAACAACAGGCACAAATCAGTATGAAAATACTTGACAGTGTCCCTTTAAGGGAGAATGTGGTTGCCTGCAGGTTGGTCTTCTCTGAAAAGTGGAGATCAAAGACAGATAAAGGAGATAGATCCAGACAAAGGAGCAATGTAGCCTTGGTTTAAGTCAGTTAAAATAATCACATTTGTGCTATGAGAGGGCTTTTTTATAAAATTGTTTTAAAATATATTTATAGATTTTGACTTTATGCCCTATCATAATTACCTGAGTTTTTGTTTGGGTATTTTAAAGGTATTTTTCATAGCAATCTGATCAAAAAATAGCATTGAAGGATGAAAGGATGCATTTGTGACTAAAACTTCATAATCAAATGGAAAATATTCACAATTCACAATGATTTATCCATGAACTTATAATATTGGTTGACATTCATAAAACTGTGATGCCACAGAGGAAACTGTGATGTCATAGAGGAGAATCCCAGCTTTTAAATAAGTAAGGAAAAGACAGAAAGGGAGAGAAAAGCAAGCTTAGAGTTC